GAGCTCGGCGGTGGCATCTCTGCCTCTTGGTGGGCTCAGCGTTCGTGCTGCTCACCTCTGCGCTGTCCGAAATGGTTTACGCAGGAAGTAGCCCGGTCTGCTGGCGATGGATATGGACAAAGGGGTCCTGCTTGGAGTCTGTTGCCAGGATCTTGAACCGGTTTTCAAGGATCGAGGTTCCAAACTTCGACTATCGAGCTGGGGTCCTTCTGACCTGTCTGCCCGCAGCGAAATCGGGGTAGTCGGTCTCTCCCGTCTGCCGCGGGGGGAGGCCTGATTTTTTGGGAGATTTTGGGGGGCCTCTCCTTGGCCTGCGAAGCTGGGCGCTGAGGCGGGAGCTAAGGCTGCTGAAGCTAAGGTTGAAGCAGCTGGGGGAATTGCTGCTGATATTGATACTGGGAGACCTAGTGCAGTACATGCTATTGATAGAGTTGAAGTTGTTGGAACTGTTGCATTTGGGCCTGCATGGCCGCATGCACTGCTTCAAATCTTCTAGTCGGTTCGGGCTGGCCTCTGGAGGCACGACTGAAGGTTCGGCGAACATTGCTCCGACTGTAGCAGGGAGTGGGGCGATGACAAGTGCCACTGTGAGAGGCACATTCAAGCTGGGGATTCCGTCCGCTGAGAGGAGGACGGTGAACTGTCCGATACAGACAGTAGGAAGTTGGGGTTGTTCCCTGGTGTTATCCATTTCCGTGCTTCGTTTGACGTTGCTAGAGGAAGCCATGAGCGTTGGATTGTTTCAACAAGGGAAAGAACTGAAAGAGTTTAGGGAGAAAGACCTTTTGAAGTGTTTCCCACAGACGGCACCAAATGATGTAGCACAATCCGGTCACTCCTAGCTGGCACTCGCGTGGCTCCTGAGAGGTACCTGAGACGAGAGGAAAGAGGAAGAACTCCCGGGGGGTTTCCCAGCGGGAACGCTCCGATGCTTAAGTTAGTATTGTGTGCGATAAACAAAAGGAAAATGAAGGCTAAGAGTGTCGGTTACGCAGATGATTTCAAGATACCTTGTTCCTTGAGAATAAGCTTCTTATAACTAAATTTCGTTGCTTCAGACCCTCTGACTTCTAACAGGGTAGGTATAACCGCCACTGTCAATCTGCCACAGCTGTTACAGGCAGGGCTGAGGTGGCACGTACGGGGCCGTTGTTGCAGGGTACGTGTCTGTCAGGTGCGAGACACCTTTCTAAAGGTGGCAGGCGCGGCGAGGGGGACATGCCTACTGTCCACAGATTTGTCGGGTACGGCGGTCGAGCAAGAAGCCCTCCTGTGGTATGCCGAACTGCTCTCCCGCGAATTACCCTGAGCTGGGTTGTCCTTTGAGTGACGGGTCGCCTGTAGCCAGTTATGCCGAGCTAGCTGACCCGAGGTGTCCGTGCCTCGGGGTGTCCGGGTGTGTTCTTGCCTGGGAGTAGCCCGAGGTCCATTGGGAGGAGCTCGGGTCTTAAAAGGGGGTTAGGGCGTCCCGAACTTGTGACCCCCCGAAGTGCCTTAACCCCGGGGAGGAGGTGCGGGTAAGGCAGCTTCCGGCGAGTAGTTTACCTGCCGAATTGCCGCACTGAACTTGGTGGGACTTTCCCTCCGAGTTGTACTCACGCTTGTTGCGCTGTTATGCTGAGTCACTGTTTGAGCAAGGTCATGCCCACGTGTACCTGTGCTACGAGGTCGGGCCGAATCACCCTCCATCACTTATTCTTATTGATGTTGGAATGAAATATAAATTTCAAACCAATCAAAAATAAATTAAATTCGTTTTCATGGTTACATATAAAAAATTTGACTATTTGAGTCAAATATTTCCAGCTTGTTATCATAATTAAATAAAAAGATAAAAAACATAAAATAAAAACATTTTGTAAATAATACGGGAATTTTGTAAAAAAAAAAACATTTAAGCACTTATCTAACATTTTATAGGGTAATTTACTCAAACACTGCCATATAGTTTCACACATTTACTATGACCTACCCTTTAGTTTGCATTTTACTAAGACACACCCATTATTTGCAATCTACCTATCGTTATGAACTACTTGTGTATCTATCAAAAAATAGCTAGGTGACCTCTTAAAATGGTTGATTATTAGAAAAGAACCACCCTTAATAAAGCCATGTCACCAATTATTAATCATTCTATGATACAATGGATGGCGTGGCAATGCCCATGGTTGTTAATCTCATTCATTCCCTAGTTGCTCTCTTCTTATTCTCAACTCTTGCCAAAAGCTGCAAATCATCAATTTCTTTCTAGTCGAAACTTTGTCTCTACTTCTTCTATGGTAAAGAGACTTCGCTTTTCGTTCTTCTTTTCTTCCCAACATCATCTCTTCATTAGCTAGCTTTCTCCTAATAACTTTCGTTGCTGCAAAATGCATAATTATTGTCTGAATTTAATGATAAACAAAACAAAAATAAGGAAATCTTTGTGAGCTTAGTTCTAGCTACTTCTACCTTGATGGAATGCCTGTGTTTATTTCCAAAATTTTGAAGGATTTATTAGAAAAAAAAAAGACTAAAAATGATTCTTGCAAGGTTTGAGTGCAATCATGGTTCTAGGAAGTGGTTATATGATATCATCTCATAGTGAATTTACTTTTGCCACTTCCTTTATTTACTTCCTTTGTTTGTTTGAAAAAGAACAAACAAAAGGATTATTTTTGTTATTTTTATTGTGATCCCCATCAATTCTAACTGTTCAATTGATAGTCCTGCTCTTCTGATGATTGGATATTCATAATGAGTGAACATTGTTAAACAACACCAATACAATTTATTCCCATAGAAAGCACCAAGAACAAGAGAAGATAAAAAAGGTTCTTTCTCCTTTAAAGATCTGGTAGAGATTATAACTTAAATTATTTATTATAGATCTTCCTTGCAAATTCCTAAGCAATGCCAAAATTTGATGGTAATCAGCATCAACGTTTAAAAAATTAACATGTATCGGCCCATATTGACTAATACGTATCATGTTAGGAGTACCCCGATATGCCCCTACAGAGGGTGTATCGGGGTTCTGACTGGTTCAGGGGGTGGAGGAACCTTAAACCGCCACCTGAACCGGATTTGAAAAAAAGTACCGATACTACCCGATATGCCCCTACCGACGTATCAGGCATATTGATATTTAGAACCTTGATCAGCATTTCTACTCACCACAAAAAAAAATATTTTGGAACCCCAGCGGATCAAGTCTAAAACTCTCAACTCTCTACTTCTCGTCACTATCCCTTATCTTAATAGCTTGAATCATGCCATTAGAGAAGTGAAGTACTTGTTTGGACTTTGCTTGATTTTGTGAAGGTGTCTTCCTCATTTGCCTAGGCCAAAAGAATGCTTTGAATTTGCAACCAAAGAGCATAATCTATGAGTTTCATTGTCCTTGCATTTTCACTTGCTATGGTAAAAGAAGGAAAAGCTGTGATAAGGAAAAAACAGGGAAGAAGGGAGCTACCCAATGGAGGGGAATATGTGGATCTTACTTGTCTTGTAAAAGATGGCTAGTGGTTGCTACTCTCACTCGGTTATTGACGGTGAAAACAATGGAAGGAGAGGAGGTGCGGAAGAAGGGGGAAGGAGATGAAGGGAGAAAAAAAAAGGAAGAGAGGAAGAACAAAAGAATTGACATTTTGTTTTTATTTTGTTTTGATTAATGTGGTCTAGCAAACATGAAGGGAAAAATGTCATTTTATATTCACCTAACAGAAGGTATAAGGAGTATTTTAGTAAAATATAGTAAATTCATAAAATTACAAGGGGTATTTTAGTAAATGACCTATTTTATATTAATCATATCAAAGAAAGTAAGTGTGATAAATAATAGTTATTTTTATTTATGTTAGCAATAAAGTATAAAATTTATAACTGATTCTAAAAATGAAATCGTTTTCCTAATGGTGGGTCAATAGTTCAACCTTTTGGGTCTTATGTGTTAAGTGTCAACCCCAATGTTTTCAACGTGTCATTAACTCAATTCGTTGAAGCATTCGAACCATCCCCTGACTATGATTTTGGTCCGACTCTTTTAAAACCTGACCTTTGGTCAAAATCGTTGGTATAGTAAAAAACTCATCTTACCCAAAAGGTTGGACCATTGATCTGTTTGACCTAGTGATCAGTTGCATACTGAATGTGCATGCAAAGTTTTGGGAGTCATAACTTTGTTCTCCAATGTCCAAGTAGGGTGATCTTTTGTTTTTTTTCTTTTGGTAGTCTTTTGAGATCTATATGCATTCCAAGCTCCACTATTTTCGAAAAAAAAAACCTTTTTGCATCAAATCATAGTTTTAAGCATTTTTACAAATAAAAAAATTAAAACTAAATTAAACGTAAAATAAACAAACAGGTTCAACCTCTAGATCAGTTTCTAAAACATTGATCAACCCTTGACCTCCTAATTAAATAATAAATTTAAAAGGCATAAAATATAAAAATAAAAATATAGAAACCTTGTAAAAAATATTTGGATATATCTTTAATATTTTATATTAATTAACCATATTAAAGAAAATTAAGTGTGATAAAGAATAATTATTTTTATTGATGATAAAAACAAAATACAAATTTAAAACCAACTCAAAAATAGAATTGTTTTCTTAATTGGTGAAAAATCAACAATTGAATCTTTTGGGTCAAATATTGTATCAACCCTTAATGTCATAATTAATTAATAATAAAAATTACAAAAGGTAAAAATACATAAAAATATAAAAATTATACAGAACATTTAGATACATCTATAATATAATATATTTACTATATTAAATAAAAATAAATGTCACAAATAATAATATTTTTTATAAAATATATAAAAGATTATAGAAAATATAGAAACAAGATTTTTTATAAGTAGACAGGATGGCCTTCGAAAAAGATACGAGACAGGATACAAGATATAGTAACATAACCCTATTTGGTATTCGTGGACTCGGAAGTCAATACAAATTAGAGAAGGGGTAAAATGATAATTAAGAATACACAACTCTGTATATATCCGTGGAAGAAAGAAACCCTAAAACCCTCGGAAGGAGAAAAACCTAATCGAAACACATTTCTCCTACACTACACCGCTCGTCGTCGCGGTTGCTTTAATCGCAATTCCTGAAAATGGTGAGTTCCATCTGCATTTTCAGTCATTATTATCTAATCTAATCGTCACAATAGTGATTGAGCCTTTTTTCTTCTTTCTTTTCTGCTTCTCTGTAGCCTTTCAAGCGGTACGTGGAGATCGGGAGGGTAGCTCTCGTGAACTATGGCAAAGATTATGGGAAGCTCGTCGTGATAGTCGACGTAATCGATCAGAATCGGGTATGTACTTCGATCCAGTTGCCGTTTTGTTTGGATCTCTCTCCTACTGCTCTGCAAACTTTTTGATTAGTTCAATTATTTATCGTTTAAGATGTTCTTTTCCCATCAAATCTCTGGGAGGGAAAATTTTGAATGATGTGAAACTTCATTTGGGTATCTTCTTCGTTGTCTGCTTGCCTATTGGTCTTCGTCGGGGTATCGAAAATGATATCAAGGGTTTTTGTTGGTTTATTTTTTCTCTACATTCGTATTTAAAAAAGTTAAACTTAAAAAGAGCCGAAATTTTATTAGCAGGTTGAGAAGAATATAGTCGCAAATGGGATGTGTGTGTGTGTGTGTTCTTTTTTATTCTTTTGGGTTATTTGTCTTGCTCTGGTGAATGGTGAATGAAATGTGAAATGAATATAACAAAGATCCGTTGGATATACTTCTTCAGTATGTTGCCTGTTTCTACATTTTTAATCTTTTCCTGATAGCTTGCATTTCTTCTGATAGTTCAGAGATTTGAGTCTAGCTGCTTTCTTTTTAGTGTGTTTACCTTTTGTGTTTTAACTGCTTACATGGAAGAATTCATAACCTATCATTGAACGGGTAAACCATTCGTGTGTCTAAAGCTCATGGCATCTGAACTAAGAATATGTGGATGCCGTCTTTATTCTGATATGCTCTTGAAGCTATTTATCCCAACAGAATGTTTAGAAGATTCTTGGGATTCAAGTGCATCCTATGGCTTTTCATGTGCATCATCAAACCATGGGCACATAATTGAAACCGACTTGGTCCCTTTGGTTTTTAAGAAGTTCTGAACTGAAATTAAACCAAACCATTCGTGTGTCTAAAGCTCATGGCATCTGAACCAAGAATATGTGGATGTCGTCTTTATTCTGATATGCTCTTGAAGCTATTTATCCCAACAGAATGTTTAGAAGATTCTTGGGATTCAAGTGCATCCTTTGGCTTTTCATGTGCATCAAACCATGGGTACATAATTGAAACTAACTCGGTCCCTTTGATTTTTGAAAAGTTCTGAACTGAAATCAAACCAAATCAATTGGTTAATTGGTGTAAATACATATATATTCATCAAAAAATACATAGATACATACATGCATATTGTGTGCGTGCGTGTGTGAAAATCTATGATGTTGGAAACACATGGTATTGGAAGAGCTTTGACCAATCAAAATCCACCCATGGTTGATTGGTCACTAGTTTTTCAGATATGATGTCTTTCCGGTATCATAGTTGAACCCTAGTTTTGACCTTTTATTTTCATGCATCTAGTTATTAAATCTGAAGCCAGTGTTGTGCAATCTGGATTGTGGTGTTTTAATATACATTGCAGAATACTTCTTTCTCTATCTAAATGCACTATTTCATATCAAACTTGGACAGGCCCTTGTAGATGCTCCTGACATGGTAAGAAGCCAGATGAATTTCAAGAGGCTGTCATTGACAGATATAAAGATTGATATCAAGAGGGTACCCAAAAAGAAGACTCTCATTGCTGCCATGGAGGCTGCAGGTAAGAACCAATTCATTGTTTCTGATGCAATGGTTGGTCTTGTGTTTTTATATAATACTCTAAATTTAATTATATGAATCTCATTATGGTGTTAGATGTCAAGAGCAAGTGGGAGAATAGCTCCTGGGGAAGGAAGTTGATTGTGCAGAAGCGAAGAGCCTCCTTGAATGACTTTGACAGGTTTAAGCTCATGCTCGCAAAGATCAAGGTTTGTAAGAAATGTTCTGTTACACTCTTCCCAGTGACATTTGTGGACAAATAAAACCATGAAGAGACGATTTACTCGGGCCTAATTTCCATGTCCCTGGTTCCCAAGTGCTAAATTCTTAAATCTTTTGAAGCATTCTCTGTTCTAATGGGTTGTCTTCTGCCTTTGCAGAGAGGTGGTTTGATCAGGCAGGAGCTTGCAAAGTTGAAGAAGCAGGCTGCTTAGATTTAGAATGTTCCAACTTCCAACTTCCAACTTCTTATTTGAAATCTCAATTTTGTTAAAAGATTTTTTAAGTAGTTTTCTTTATCTCGTGTTTGTCTTTGCTATCTGGGATGTTAATATTTGAAGTTACCTTGGTTAATTCATCCTTCGGTTTTTATCTATTGCACTAACGATGTAGAAATCAATACATGTGAACTGACTTTAATCTAGTTATTTTCAGTAAGGTTCAGAGCATCAGTATCGTAGAGAGCATTGAAAAAGGCAATTTTAAGGGACATTAATTGGCCTTGTTAATTATAATTTGATAAGAAAGTTTGGGTACTGTCTGGGTAAGCTGAGATCAGTTTTTTGAAAGCCAAGATTCAGTATAAGTTGGAGATCGGAGTCCAATCACGTGCTTTAGCCCTTTTCATTTATTTATTTTGAGCTTTTATTTAGAAATTCAATATATTATCTATCAGTTGAATTGTATTTTTTTACCCAAAAGCCTGTCTCGGGTAATGTCATCAGCCTAAAACCTCTTGAAGGTCCGTTTGCATTTCACATCATATGTTGATTAATTTCTTTTTTTTTCTCTTCGTTGCCCCTTTGCCTGCTATAAAACCAACATCCTGTTGTTCCTAGGTTAACATAAGAGTGAATGTAAATCTCTTTTTATCAATCTAAGAAAAATATAAAATCCCTTTCTAGAACTGGTCGAGATAAAGTGAAGCATTAACAAAGTCATTTTATTGCTTATAAAATTATAACAGAACAGTGTCGTCATTTTATTGAACACATATCTTGCCTTTAAGCCTCATGTGCATTCTCTATTTTTCTTATCTTTTTTTATTATGAAATGAACTTTTAAAGCACTTCAAGATGAAGCTCTAGTCAAGTTCAAAATTTTGCAGCATATCGTATAATATGTATCGTATCTAAGGGGTGGCCATAGGAAATGCTATAAAATCGTTTGTGGTCTTTTTGTCATGTTGGTCCATATAGTTATCGTATTGTGGTCTAGTATCGGGGCATATTGGGGTGTGTCGGGATTGCATTGTAATCGTATTGGTTGATATAATATGATTTCTTGTAGGCAAAAATTGAATTAAAATTTTTTGAGAAAAAAAAAAGCTTATAACTCCTCAGAAATTGCAAAAATAAGTGTTTTTTTAATTTATTTGATGGTATATTACAATATTTTGTATTCTTTAATGCTTGGAAATTCTTATATATATATATATATAAAGCGGTTAGGTCCCACATCAGCAGCCCTCTCCTTCTCCCATTCCCTCTTCTCTCTTCTCTCTTTAAACCTCTCCCTTCTCCCTTACCCCTTCCTAACCCATCCATGTAGCCAGGTGGCAGCCCTCTCTTTTATATCAAAGTACCACTCCAAATCTCTCTCTCATGTTCTCAATCACTTAGCCAACTAAAATTTCTCCTAAGCTATCTCTTTCACCTAAAATTCTTCCTAAAACACCTTGCTAAGTGACAGCTCTTTCTTCACTAGAGTTCCACTCCAACTCTCTCTCTCTCTCTCTCTCTCTCTCTCTCTCTCTCATGTTACCAATAAGCTCAATTGCCTCCTAAACAATCTCTCCCGTCTAAAATTCCTCCTAAAACACCTCTCAATCTATATTATAAACCATCTAAAAACCAAAAACATGGGTATATTAATTATTTAAATTAATTTGGGAAATCAACGCCTAAACTATATTTTTATATTTTCAATAATTACTGATATTATTGAATATTATCTGGTAAATATCAACACCTAAACTATAATTTTTCGTAATTTTAGTAAATTGAAAATTTTAATTACTAAGCATTACTTGCTGAAAATTACTGATTTTGGTAATTTAATTTCAGAATTTTTTGAAAATTAATTATTGAAATCAATAATTACTAAAAAATTTATAGTTAATTAAAATGTTAAAAAATTCAAATTTAATAATTAAAATTTATTAGTAATTTTTAGCAATAAGTAGTTAATGATATTTTTAGTAATTTTGGTTAATTTATTAATATTTAATGATATTATAAACGACAATTAAACATTTTTACTAATTTTTAGTGGAAAATTAATTTCAACAAAATATAAATTTATTTTTTTATATTTTCAGTAATTTTGATATTTACTATAATTTTTTTTGAGCAATAATTAGTGATTTTTTTAATTTAGTGAAACTTAAATTATAAAACTTCCAATTTTTCAAATGAAGAATTGGAAAATTTTAATAGTTTCCATAAGTATTGGATACTACACTTATAATTATCATAATTAATGGAACTATATTATTTATGGGTTTGGCAGGTGTTATAAAGATGACCCCCTAGGTAGGAAAGGTAATGGGTAGGTTCGGGGCGGGAATCATATCCCCATCCCAACCTTGAGTTTTAAATTAATCCCTATTAAAAATTTTAGCCCACATCTCTGGTCCTCGACAAAGAGGGCTTCTCCATTAAGGACATGAATCCTCGAACTTTTTAATTAAAAGTTTGTTTTTAGAAAGGTATTTATTTAGAGTAAAGGAAAAATTAAAATACAAATAATATTTTAAATATATTTTGATATATATATATAACATAAAAATAATATAAATAACATAAAAAATATTATAAATTTAATATAATATATACACATATATTTAATATATATATATAATCGGGGTTGGGGTAATCTCCATCCCCTATCCTCGCTGAGGCAATCTCCATCCCATCCTAGTCAGGTACTTGGCGGGGATGGAGAAAATTGCCATCCCTACCCTCAGATTGTGTAGCTCCATAGAACAATGAGTTTTAAGTCCAGTTCCATGCATCACATGGGGGCCCGCTTTAGATATATATATATATATATATACACTTTGAATAAAAATATTTATTTTTCAATTTTAGTATAAAAAATATTTATTTTTTAAACATTTTGGGATTTTAAAATATTTTTCCAATTTTTAATTCATAGGTCTATGGATGTATATTTATGATTTATTGGAGTATCTACAATGTTTTCATGTGTTTCCATGCGTATCTTAATTTTTCGTCCATATCCATGCGTATCCAAGGCGTATCCTAATACGCCTTTTAAATTTGTCTTTCCGATACATTTAACATTTCCCATACTTTAAACCTTGGCTTTAGTTTATTTTATTTATTTCAACTTCAAATACAAGGCTTTGATGAAAAAAGATGAAGCGAATCTTTTTTGTGCAATTATAATACTTTATTCATTGATTGAGCCATCCTGCCTCATTTTTTCATTGGTTACATTTTTTGGTGGTTTTATTTAAAAATTTAAAGAATATTGAAGGGCAAACAAGCCTTTTTATCACTCCAAAATATAATGATATCTTATTTTGACAGGGAAGGTCAAGTCTAGGGGTGGATTTGAGTCGACTCGACCCGAATAGTATGAGGCTCGAGCTTGGCTCGCCAAGGTAGTACAAGGTCCGAGCTAGAACCTTGAGCTCGAGCTCGGCTCGAGTCAAAAGCTCGTAAGCTCGATCTTGATTTGAGAAAAAAATGTCTAAAAAAAATTATATATGAAAATATTTTTTATTTGATATTTTAAAAATTAAGCTTATATATATTCAAGCTCGACTCGTTTATTAGTCAAGCCTATAAATTGGGCTCGAGCTCGGTTGAAACCAAGCCGAGTCGAGCTTTCCACGAGTTAAGTTCGAGTAGCTCGTGAAGAGCTCAACTCGTGGCCACCCCTAGTCAAGTCTAGTTAAAAATAGAGGGGAGGTATAAGTATTTATGGTAAACCTCACTGGGGTTTAAATTTTTTTGCCCTAAATACTATGTGCCCATTTGGGAGGGCTTTCGAGATGCGGTTTTTGGCATTTTGAGCTAGGCCAAATGGAAATGTCCGAAGCTATGTTTGATGAAAATTTGGAAAGGCAACATTAGAGTTCTCAATACCAAAATCATGATTGTAACATAACTATTCTAAATTGCTTATCGAAAACATAGGTGCTCAACCAAAGGGACTTAGTTAATGCAGCTTGCCCCAAACAAGGCCTACATAGTTACTAGAGGCTCAAGGAATTTTAAATAAAAATTCTATTATAATGATTTGTATTGTATGAAGTAATACATTGCAATCAATAATAAGATACCTAGATTATAAAATATTATAAACTAAAGGGTCATTTACTAGAACACCCCCTATAGTTTCATAGATTTACTTAAACCTACCCTATATTTTCCATTTTAGTAAAACACCCCTTATAGTTTGCAACCTATTTACTTAACCGACCTTTCATTAAGAACTATTTGCTTTGCCATCTAAAAATCGTAACATGATCACCTAAAGTAACTGGAAAATGTTCAAGGGCATGGACCCATCGTTGTTTATTCCAAAAGTACCCCTAAATTGAGTGGAAAATGCTGAAGGGTGTGGATCCATGGTTGGTTATTCCAAAAGTATCGATAACACTTTTTTTATAGAAAACAAAATTGACCAAATAAAGAAAAATATAGTGATTGTCCATGTTTTACTAGGGGAAAAAATGATATTTTATTTTTAGTTTCTTTTGATTAAATTTATTTGAATGGATATTAGGGTTAAAACTATCCTTTTTTATTTTCAACTAATTGAAGGTCAATAAATAAATTGATTGCAAATTGTAAGAGATGTTTTAGTAAAACAAAAACTATAGGGGTGTTTTAGTTAATGACCCTAAACTAAACACTCAAAACCATAGAACAATTTAATATGTACACAAATAAGTTAATAATACTTTAGGAAAAATCTAAACTACTAGAAAGACACAACACCAAAAGAGCTTCAATCAATCAAAACCCCTTGTTATTTAATGAAACATCACACATTTACCCTTCAAATTTAAATTTAGGGTAAATTACATGGACCCCCTGTACTATGGGGTCTGTGACAAATACTCCCTTACTATTTTTTGCTACAAAGACCTCCTGTACTTTGACTGTTAGACAAAGACCGCCCCCCTCTGTTAGTGATCCGTCAGTTACCGTGGACAAAAGGTTTACATTTCACTATTACAACACTTTTAAATACCCAAAACACCCTTTTGACATTTTGTTGGACCATTCTACCCCTCAATTCATTTTAAGACTTGCATTTGGCAAGTTATCTCATTTCTCCGTTGTGTTCAAGTCTGCAGAGGTTTTTCACAGCAAAGGTATTTTCTTCTTAGCGAAGGTTGGCTGCCGACAAGTCTTCCCATTCCAGTGAGTTCTAATCCATCGTTGGTATCCCCATTTGTCATGAAGTA